GTGAGAGAGAGAGAGAGAGAGAGAGAGAGAGAGAGAGAGAGAGAGAGAGTTCACACGTTACCAAAGCTAAAAAGACTGCATAGAGTCAAAGAGCATCCAATCTGCCAATAGGACATAAAATCGGCAGGCGAATTCGGAACGCAGCTATTGATACACTGAAAATAACAAGCCAATCTCTCGGGGGGGCCGGTTTTTTCGCTCCTCAGAAAACACTCATTATAGCATCCTCCCCAACACGTATATATCTGTGCATTCACACCATTCATTGCCAAAATCGACAAAAACACCAAACCGCAACAACGTTTTTCTCCATCGCCACCCCCAGTTTTTTGCTATCTCCAGATACAGGTTTTCGACAATTAATCGAAATCGAGGACGCTGTCTAAGTTTATAGGTCAATAAAGAACCAACTACTTTTTCTTTAACATTAAATGAAATTTAAAAAAAAATAAAAAATAACTTTCGTTACCTTAAGAAAGCAGCATTCGGATTATTCGGCTTCTTTACTGCATGATCATCATAATAATATCTTGATTATCATATCATGGGATTGATTATTTTGTGTACAAGATTTGAGAATTAATTAACATTTAATTGAGGTTTCTGTTTTTTTATTATTCATGAAGTTTAATTAAATGACACCTTCCAGTTGGCAAAAAAAAAAAAAAGAGTCAAAGGGTAAATTTTTACAAAAGTCAAACCATAAAAAAAAATATTATTACAATGATCGAAAGATAGGCATCGTCGAACGTATGTACTTTCCCATATATATATTACGTGTATTTTTATTTTAAGATACAATGTTGAATTGTTAGCCATTATCCGAATGGATTTCCTGCTCGAGATACCGAAGAATTATGTGAAGCAGGCAAAGAGTACTCTGTTCCGGCGATGGCTTGGTGGTTGAGGGGCGAAAACGTCTTTTCACTTCCGCCGAAGTCGGAAATTCCTTGAGGCCTGGTAAGTGGCATGTTACTAGGTAGCTGCCTATGTAAGCTCCAGGAACTAATAATATATATAATCAGACAAACGTAGAAAACGTCGGCATTAAAAAATCGGAAAAAAATAAAAAATATTTTAATTTCTATCGAAAATAATAACATCTTCACCTAAATGCATATTCATGTTCATCCCATACATTGAAGGCGGTATGTTTGGCAAAGATCCTTGTACCGGTGGCATTGAATGAAACTAATCGAAAAAATTCATTAGTAACATCGAAAATAATACCAATTTTTTTATTTTTTTTAATTAATATGATGATTAGATTATAAATTAGATTTAATTTCATGCATGCATGCTCACCGTTGATGCTTGAATTTGGAACCTATCATCGCTGATATCGAATGGATTATGTGGTTTTACGGGATTTGGAAAAGCGGCCACGGGCTGTCAAAAATACGGCCGTTATTCGATTAGCATCATCGCAAAATATTTCGAATTTTTTTTTTCAAGATTTGGCATATATATATACCATTGAAGGAGGATGGAATTGATAACCGTATCCGCTTCCATAATTAGGTGGGTGCATCGGCCAATCAGCAACCGAGAAAAGATCCTGCGTAACATAATCAACAAACTCGTAAAAAGATAACTATTAGATAATTTTTTGATCGAATTCGAAAATGATTAAAAAAATAAAAAATAAACCTGTGGAATTTCCTTTCTTGCACTACTAGGATCAGAAGCTTGTGACGGTTGCTCGATTTGAAAACTTTGAACCGGCATTATATCACTTGCTGCGCGTGATCTATTCGATTCGAAAAGAAGATTTTTCCTTATCGTTTTTCGAAGCTGTATTGGAACTAGTCTCCGTTTTCGGATCGAAATCGATCAAACTATTCAAATTTACCTTCTTTTCTGTTTTCCGTTTCTCGTCCGTAAAACCTTCTTTATTGATAGCTTCTGCCACCTTCAGCCACACAAAAAAAAAAATTATCGAAACTTTTAAAATAAAATAAATAAAAATAAAAACTCACCTGAACTTTAGCAGAATCTGAGGTTTCCTTCGCGACATTCGATTTGGGGGGCCCACAAATTGTAAGAACCGGAACTTTCTGGAGGGTACTTGATGTCATTGATGCACTTCTTTGAGGTTGATCTCGATTATTATACGACGAGTGCCTAACAATTTCGTAGCGCTTTACGCTTCCATCGTCTCTAAATCTGTCGTCCACTATCTCAAAATTACGAGGGGTACGATTATTTCTGCTGTTGCTGCTGCTGCTGCTGCTATATCGAGGGCTTCTTTCTTCCAACATATCTTTGAAAGTTCTTGCATTGGTTCTTATCGATGGACTATATTTCTCGAACGAACTATTTCTTTCGAAAGTTGGCCTCTCCGTTGTAAAATCTTCCCTCCGTTTTTCGAACGGTCTTATTTCGCAATAGTTCTTTCTTGTTTCCTGTACTTCGAAAAAAAATGATAAACATTAAATATAAACATGCATGCATACATGGATGTATGTATGTATGTATTTGTGAGAAATAAATTTACCAATTTAATCATGGATAGCTTGTTGGAACTGTTGTTTTCACCGGCGTATCTTCGGTCTAGATAGACGTGTTTGATAAATTCTCGAAGCTTTTGAAGATTACTGAAACGCAGAATATATATTTTATTTTTTGTAATAAAAAAGAGAAACGTTGGTATTATCGATCATACTATTTATTATTAAGGGATGTCGAAGAATTTTTTTTTTACCTGCCATCGGGATAGTAATTCCGTTGCGAATCCCAAGTTTTGAAATAAATTTGCTTTGCTCTCTGTGAAAATCATCATTTATTAAAATTTAAAAAAAGAAATTTTCATTCGTATATTATTCGTGGATGTTCGTTCGAACCTCATTTCCACCGGCTTGAAGGGATGTAATTTCTTCTTCGTTGAACTTTGCCATCGATAGCGACTTCACTCGATGAGTAAATTCCCGACTGTAAATTTTCAAGAAAATTAATTAATATTATTTGTTGTTCTTAACTAATATTCATGTACCAAATACAAGTATATATTATTATTATTTATTTAATTTTAATGACAATATATAACTTACTGAACTCCACTGCAATTTGTACAGACAAATGTCCAGAAAGTTGTGCAGACATATTGAGGCCCCTGGTTCCAAAAATAAAATAAAATAAATGAAAATGAAAATCAGCAGAAATATATTAAATACAATAATTTCATGGAAAAAGAAGTATAAATTAAATATATCTCAATATAATTCATTAATTATATATCGTTTCCGAAATATTCAAGAAAACGAAAATGGCTAGAAAGAAGAGTGCGAATAAATCATCATACCAGACTATTGCAGTTGATGCATCGCCTATTATCCGTCTGCTTCAAAAGATCACGAATAATCATTTCGATTTTCTCCTCTTCCTTCACACGCCGAGGCATTTTCTTTTTTTCTTTATTGGCCCAATTTATTTTGAATTATGCCTATAAAACAAACAAACTATAAAAGTTAATAAGATAACTAATTTCAAGCATTCATGTTTTCAATGCCATAACATTCTAAAACTATAATTAATTATCGATAAAAAAAAAATTAATTAAATATTTTAAACATCGAACAATGTTTGGTGCTCAAAGAAAAATTCAGCAAATTGATAATTAACATAATTTTTTTATTAAAAAAAAATCTCGATTATATATAGATACAGAGAATGATGCTCATTCGACATATATACGTTGTAAGAGGCGAACAAATTGGCGATGTGGGACGAATTCAAAATTTCTCGTTCCAATCCAAGTTATAACATTCTCTAATGTTGTTAATCGAAAAAAAATCCCTGAAACGAAAGAGTCACGAAAAGCTCACCTTATACGTTTGCAGATTAATGGAAATCTTTTTTTTTTCCCAGCTCAAAACAACTTATTTGTGTTTGATTAATGGAAAAAAAAGATTTAAGATGGTATATGGGCACCAAAGATTTAAGTTTTTTGTTCAATTTATTTTAACTAAGCTCTATGTATATTGTTATTCTAAGCTCTCTACGTGTTGTGGAATGCATCTATTCATGTGAAAGTACTTAATCTAAGCTCTTGTTTATTAATGCAATAAGCTCTGTGTAATGCATCTATTCATGTGATAATACTCAGTCTAAGCTCTTGTCTATTAATGCAACTAAGCTCCGCAAGTAAGTTTTTTAAGTTGTCCGTATCAACTTTTATCATGTGCTGCATAATGCATCTATTCATGTGGTCGGTGTTAGAATTTATTTAGTGCAGATATAAATTATTTGTGTCAGATTCAGTTTTTCGTTACTGTTGCGTGAAGTGTTGCAACAGTTCGTGAACCAGTTCGTAAAAACAGAAATAAACGAGACACAAATTTTAATGTGGTTCGGATACAATTGTACCCTACATCCACGGGGACCTGCAAATAAAATTTACTAATTTTTAGTTTTACGAATACAATAATAGGACTTAATCAAAATACAAAGACTCCCTCTTTGTTGACGCCGTTCTCGTATACTACGCTGAATTATAAATCTTCAATTTGCAGCACGTCCCTTGCTCCGCACGGTTGAACTCCCTTCAGCGCTGAATCCCTCAGTCGGCGGATCGATCTCCTCCCGAGATCTGTTTAAGCCCCTATCCCGAAGAACCGATCTTCTTTTTATAAAGAAGAAGCAAACTTGTGATACTCCGTGAATCTTGGTGTCTTCACCACAAAGCCTTGAAGCCGGTATATTCTCTATGAAAATCACGTATCACGATGGAACAATAAAAAAAACGAGAGGAAAAATATTTTCTGTGAAAAACTTCTCTCGATCAAAGACGTTCCGGGAGCAGCAAAAATAAGAGCAGAAAAATATAATTTTTCTTCTCCAACAAAAGGGACAGCCTACAAAAACGTTGATGCTCCTCTTTTTATACTTCCTTTAGTTGAATAGTAGAGCCCTACAAAATATAAGAGCCCATTAAGGTTAGTTGTAATCTCACATAAGGAAAAGAAGTTGTGTAACAAAGGAAAGTCTTTCTCAAGAAAATTCCTTGTTAACAAAACACCTAGGCAATTAAATAAATTTATGACAAAATAAGAGTTTAAAGAACTAAGGAAACTTCCCTAGCTTTATACACGTTTTTCACACACGTGCTGAAAATCCACAATTAGAATCCTCTCGGATTCTAACAATCTCCCCCTTTGTCATCTATTTATTATAATCAAGTCATCCCCCTTCGTCAAATACATGGCTTGGTAGACTTGGAGAGCGGTGGAGGTAAATCATCCACGTGATAAAAGACTCAGCAAATAACGTCAGCATTAGCTCCTCCTTTTATATTCTTGCGAAAACCTAAACCAATTAATGACAATAAACACAATATTAGAACAAGTGAAATTCATTCTATTTTGGATACACACGTTCAGGTGTTAATATGGAGAGATAAATTATTTCTTCTCAAATTATCTAATGAGATAACTAAGGAAAATATGTCCCTCGTATAAATACACATCTCCATAGAATTCCACTTCGTGTTGTGGACTTAGAATCCCACCGAGATTCTAACACTCTCCCTCTTTGGCATTGATTGGTCAGAATATTTACTCCCCCTAAATATATGATACCTGCATAAACAAGGGTCAGCAAATTCAAAATAACATCTGCAAATATAAACAGTTGCAACAGTTTATCAAACAGTTCAGCAGATAGTGTACAGTTGTTCAATTTAGCAAAGAACAACAAAAAATATGCAGTGGCAGAATCAACTTCCCTTTACAATGAATTCCTCCTTATTTGTCCTGTATTTCTGCACTATTCCAACAACTATATGATGCATTGTCTCAACAGTTGTCTGAACTCCCCCTGCATTCCTGCACTGTTCCAGCAACTGTCTGATGCACTGTCGCAACAGTTGTCGGAACTCCCCGTGTATTCATGCCATCGATACTGTTCTTTTCTCCCCCTTTCTGGGCAATCACCATGCATAGATAAATCAACATGGACTAATGATCTTGATGTGTCGAGCAATCTGTTCAAACACTTAACAAAAAGATCACACGAAGAGAGAATCTTGAAAGTAAGTGAGAAGAATCACCAAACATAACGTGCACACAAAGTCACAAACTTACAACTCAATGCCACACGATAATTGCAATGCGAAAATCAAGGGATAGTGATATCAAATCCAACATTAAATAACAAAGACTACAGACTTTGCCAAACTTCCTAAGAAACGTGGAGATGAGAGGAGTAAACTCAATAGATCCGGCTGCAACATAAAATTAAATTTAACCGGCACATAAACAAAAATCCCGTCTCTCTTTCTCTCTCTCTCTCTTTTTTTTTTTTTTTTTTGTTTTCTTTAAATAATGCCTAATGCAAGACAAGAAGTAAACATGAAAAATAAACATGAGTGAAGAGACATATGTGAATAGGATACTGCATGGACAAACAAAACATATGGGATTTATCTTCACATTCACGATAAATGCAATCCCCAAAAATCCGACTGCCAATGCAACCAATAAACTTAATAATCCCAAGCCAAACACAAAGATGCTCTTATTAGGTAGCGTACACCCACGTCTAATGGTAGCTTTTTCCCATGAAAATAGAGCAATTAAAAGGAACGAGATTATGGTGGTCGTGCAATGTGTAGTCCCCTGGGCTTTCTAATTGAGCCTTGTAGTGAGTGTTCGGTCAAGTGGTTTACTGGCTCGACTCAACTAGGCTTCGAACTATTCACTGACCATATGTATAATTTATATTGGCCGTGCAATGTGTAGTCCCCTGGGCTTTCTAATTGAGCCGTGTAGCGAGCTTTCGGCCACGTGATTTACTGACTCGACTCAAAAAGGCTTCGAACTATTCACTGACCAAATGGTTGTAGATATATATATTAGTAACAGTAGTTCAAGAGTAGCTTTCACTCATTAAAAGAGGCAGCTTTTCCCTATAAAAACATCCAACCGTGACAAGACTATACAGCGAAATAAATAAGTTGGAGCCTTTTAAGTAATTATTTTGGGAATTGGTGAAGTTCTACCCCCACAAAATTTAGAAGTACACGAAGTATCAAACTCAAATTTGTCTCAATAATATGCAGTATGCTTAATGCAAGTCCTATATGAGATGCAAAAACATATGAAGTGTCCTACCACTAAAAATTGCAAGTCTGGACACACAGACTGTTGCAACAGTTCATGCAACTGCATCAGATTAAACAACATAAATTCCCAGCGATTTTCGCAAGGAATCAAATCTCTGTGCATCAAGGGTTTTTGCAAAAGCATCAGTTAATTCATTCTCCGTTGCAGCATAATCAATTGAGACAACCCCCTTTTCAACCAAGCCCCTTATGAAACGATGACAAATATCAGTAAGCTTAGTTCTCGAATGCTGAATAGGATTCATCAAATTATTTTTCGCACTCAAATTATCAAAATTCAGAAGATCAAGTTTCTTATGCCCCAATCCAATTTTGTCAACAGAACTGTTGGAACAGTTAGTACTATCATCACACGATTTTAAAGAAGTAATGGCAGATAAACAATTAAGATCAGATTTCTATACCCAGATTTTTTGTTGAGTTTTATTCACTAAATCAACATTTATCTTGGGTTTTTGAGACGACACAAAAGTGTGATCAATTTTAGCGGAAAGTGGTGAGCGGGCCATTATTCTTCTAACCATTTTCAAGTACTTAAAACACCTGGGTCGTATATGACCAGGAACATGACAAAAATGACAGGTAGGGACAAAAACTTTTCTTTGAGATGATTGTGTTGATGCAAGTGTCGCAACAGTTTGTGAAACAGTGGATTGTTTAACAAAACTGATTTTTCTTTTTGGATCCTCTTTCTGTTTCAATGCATCATTAGATAGCTGATTACCCCCTATACCTATACGACCATAGTTCGGCTGATTTTTGGTCAAAATTTCATTCAAAGTTACCCTTCCAGTATTAAACTTAGAAATAGCATCTTGGGTTTGAGCAAATCTAACCTTCAACCTATCTGTTTCTCTACTAGTAGAAATAGCATTTTGTTCAAGAGTAGAAATTCTTACCTTCCACACTTCATTTTCCTCTATGAGAACACGCTTATCCTTTGCAAGGCGCTTATTTACCTCCGATACTTCAAGCCACTTCCGATATATTTTTTCATATACATCTTTGACCTCTTCGAGGGTTGGCTCTTTATCATCACTACTGCTCTCAGAGTCACCTGCAAAATTAAATGGTGAAGTCAGATTATTGTCCTTATTTGAAGATAATTCATCATACCTGAGTTCTGTTGGACAGACTGTTGCAACAGTTTCAGCGACAGTTTCTTTGCACTTGCTTATTTGAGTAGTACCACTGAATGCCATAAAGTTTGTGGTTTGATCTTCTTTGTTGTTCTCATCCTCATCACTGTCCTCTTTATCACTCCAAACAGTGGTGA